GGGGAGCTTTGGAGCAACATGCTTTTAGGAGCCGCATGCTTTTTTTGGTGTAAATCGACTAAGGCCAACCTGTGAAAGTCATATATCATTTAAGTAACTTATGTTTTGCCCGCTAGACATGATCACTTTTGAAATAAGCGATCATGTCTAGAGGGCAAGACATAGCGCTGGATTGTTAGAATCTTAAATAGAATAAAAAAATAGGATGTGTTAAAAACTGATGAAATAAGACAAAAAGTAAAAAAGATAGGGGATAAGAGTTACAAAATTTGTAAATCATTAAAATTAAGTTAGTGGTAAGAAATGTTTTATTTTGATATTGATATTTTTCAGACATTTATCTGCTTCGAATGTACTCCGCTGAGGAATCTGTGCACTCATCAAAGGCTACTCAATCATCGTGCCAAATTTCATCGTGGCGTTAACTCTGGCTTCAAATGTAACATGTGTGCACAGAAATTTCTGACACCGCGGAAACTCCGAAAGCATAAAAAAATGGCACATGTCTTTACGAAAACATTTGGTTGTCATTTTTGTGATGAATTATTCACCAGCGAATGCTCCGTAAGCACTTTTTCTTTCCTACATTTTTGGACTGCTTTTCATGGCAGTCATAAATGAGTTTACAATTTTGCATAGGAGTCTTTGAGTGCCAGCAGTTTCTTTAAATTCTGCTATAGTTGGAAGGATTTGGCCTGAAAATGATACAGCGGGACGGAAGTGGCTTGAAGAAAGGGCAGCTGCAAAAATTTACGTGAAGAAGCTGCTGCTTCGATGCCAAATGTATTTTTTAATGTGAATGTGCTAAATCCGGTGTTTCATTTGAAGAGAGCTTGCTGTGCAACAGGTCCTAAATGCAAATAGGGAATAATGGAATATTCCAACGTTTTGGAAATTTCGATGTAATTTTGTGACTGATGAATTTGGCTGTAGAAGTTCAGCGAGTGAATTTTTTTAAAGCAAGTTTTTTTTTTTGCTGTTCTTTCACTTGTACGACATGATTTAATTAAGGTGACGACGCACGAACGCATTCACACGGGTATCATCAAGTTCGAATGCAAAATTTGCGATTTCAAGTGCAATCGTTTCATTTGGATGGAGGAGCACTCGAAGGAGGAGCATGGCTACATCTGCTCGGTGTGCCAAATTAAATGTGCCGAATGGGGTGCACTGAAAGACCATACATTGCAGGAGCACGGTGGTTATTTGACCAGTGAGTCCAATGCAGGTTTGATGCTTTTTGATCCTTTGCATTTTCAGCGGCGCTTCGGATCCCTCAGTTTTCAGATTATTATTATACTGCTACTGTTCCTGCTATATGGAGATAGGGCACGCCAGGAGGACGGCACAGTCAGGCGTTTTTGCGATAAGTTGCTGCGAGCGATTAACGGGCGGAACCATGGTGCATGCCATGAACTTGTAATAATTATTATGCGTTTTTTGCAGCTATGCAATGCAAAAACGCATACTGACGAGGGGTTGTCTGTGTTTCCGTGTGTCTGAGTGTCTGCGTGCGCGTCTGTCACGCACTTTCATCTTAAGACCTATAAAAGCTGCAGGGCTGAAATTTCGGGATCTTAGTCTACATGCGCGTGCCAGCCCCAATCTCCAAAATTGGCGCCATCACCCGCGTGGTACCCGCGTACGGGCTCGCCAAAGTTTTTTTGGGATAAGTTCATAACTCGGGGATCTGAGAAGCTAAAACGCCGAAATCTTAGGGGGATGTTCCCCGTCCAGCTGGATGTTGGTGCACTGAAACCCATCCCCCGAGTAAACGTGGTACCCGCGCACGGACCCGCCAAAATTTTTTTCGGGCAAGTTCACAAATCGAGGATCTGAGAAGCTAGGACGCTGAAATCTTAGGGTGATGTTCCCCGTCCAAGTAGGTGATAACTCAGGAGCCAGGAATGCTAGAAAGCTGAAATTTTAAGAGGCTGTTTCCTGCTAGTTCTGGCGGCCAGTCTTAATTTGTTCATCTAGAAGCATTTGCCGAAAAAACCGGTGCCGGTAGCAACAAAAACTGCGGGAAACTATGCAAAAAACGCATCTCCGCACGGGCAGCCCGTGCGTTGGCCAATTATTTTTTAGTTGATCAGGCACGTGTAAAATCATCTCTACTTTGCATTTGGCGGCTGACGGGATTTTACCTGACGGACTGCGACTGTTAGAAGCGTTTTAAACTGCACTTTCACCTCGCATTTTAACTTATGCGATTAACGTCTTGACTCGTCTGAATTTGAGGCTGAGGTCAGAATGATATTCGCGCATGTGAGTGTCAAGATTTCAACTTTTTAGTTTCATTATTTTTTTTTTAATTGGATTTTCCAATGAGCCTCATGCATACTTGCAGAATTGTGCTCTCGATAATGCATTTTGCATAATTTTTCTATGCAAAAACTAGTAAAAAATATCAATGAACATGAATCAAGAATACAGATTAACAGAACAGAATTTCGCTCTCTCGACTTTTTCATTCAAGCCTTTCAAAGTTGAATATAAGTCGTGGAAAATTGAATATAAACCGGAGAATTGGGGAAAATTTGGAG